ATATAATTTCCTATTGTGGTAAAATACACGTCTCGCAGAATTTCCCTGGGGCCATTTTGGCGTGTGCAGTTTGGTGGCCTTTAGTACATCCACACTGTTGTGCAGTCATGGCCACTGCCCACCTCCTGCACTTTTTCATCTACCCCAGCAGAAACTCTGCCCTCCTTAAACAACATGTCCCCATCCCCTCCCCCAGCGCCCACCACCCTACTCTCCATCTCTGTGAGCTGACCACTCTAGGGACCTCAGAGAAGTGGAAACACACAGCAGGTGACCTTTCGCGCCCAGCTTGGTTCATCCAACATGACGTTTTCAAGGTATATATTCCCTGCGGAATCCCAGGTATGATGGAAAGTATTAGAAAGAGCAGAATTGATTTCAAATCCTCTATCATCTCAGGAATATCTCTCAGTCCTTTACAACTGTGGGTTTTTTTTTTTACAAAGACGGCCCTTGCTGGCTGCATGATTTAACTTGTGCCGGTTCTCTTAACTACCTTCCTCTACATAAAGGGTGAACGGGTTATAACCTGAACGCCAGGCCAGCACATCTCAACCAGAGCACCACAGGCACGGCTATGGGTGGCATTACAAGCGTGCTCTCTCCATCTGATGTTTGTAAATAACTCACTTAAAAATGAGGCCGGGCGCGCTGTCTCACGCCTGTAATCCTAGCCCTCTGGGAGGCCGAGGCGGGAGGATCCCTCGAGGTCAGGAGTTCGAGATCAGCCTGAGCAAGAGCAAGACCCCGTGTCTACTAAAAAAAATAGAAAGAAATGATCTGGACAATGAAAAATATATACAGAAAAAATTAGCCGGGCATGGTGGCGCATGCCTGTAGTCCCAGCTACTCGGGAGGCTGAGGCAGGAGGATCGCTGGAGTTCAGGAGTTGGAGACTGCGGTGAGCTATGATGACACCACTGCACCCTAGCCCAGGTGACAGAGCAAGACCCTGTTTCCCACCCGTACTGTGAAACCTGTCCATGGGACACAGGGATACTCATGCCCAGGACAGCACAATAGATTTCCCTCCCCCCAGGTACATGTGTGGGCTTCCCAGGAGCTCAGCCTCCACCGCCCATATTCCTTCTGTGGGGGCTCTGTGGTCCAGTGAACAGCTTCTCACTCGTGAGACTGAAGTCCGTGCGCAGAGAGTATCACGTGCTCTATTTTAGAGACATCCCTCCTCCCGCCCGCCTCCCCCCACAGAATCAACGCAAAGTCAACCCCAGTGGCCTGGACTCACGACACTTCTGTAGTTCTGCAGGGTGATGCGCTTCTTGGCACATTAATTTTGGATTTCCACCCTGGGGGCCCATCCAGGGTGGCCTGGAACGAGCCGGAGGCTGAGATCTTAGCTGATACGAAGACCAAGCAGAGGCGGCCGCAGGTAACATGTATGCATCAGGTGCGGCTTCTCCACTTACCTTTGGAAAGGTGAGTCTCTCTTTGGCTCCGTCCTCGAGTCAGGAGCATGCACCTCAGGCTGTATTAACGTACAGTTTCTCACGAGCCTTATGCGTGGCTAGAGTCGTGCCTTCCTGCAAAAGCCGCAATGCCCGGCTGGACTTGCGAAGAGGCGTCGCACGCAGCTAGCCAGGGATTCGGATTCCAATACTGACACAGGTCGGCCGGCCCTGGCTGTCACGGCACGAGACTACCAACACAGGCTGCGAATTATCCAATTCCCTGTTCTCGTCTCCTTACGCTCACCTGGCTTTTGGGTACAAGGAAGGTGACACCTGCCTTTCTGACCGTTATTAGTTTCACTATGGCCCGGGGGAGGGGAGGTAGGTGACAATGTCAGCTGAGGAGACAGAGCACTGCTCTGCGAAATCCCAGTGTCACACTGAACCTGTGTTCTTAATTTCCCAATGGCGTCCGCGACGTCTGCGCCGGGTTGAATTGTGAACTCCGGGAAGTCCTCGTCCCGGGTGCTCGGGAACGGGACCTTCTCTGCAATGGGGTCTTTGCAGATGTGATCAAGATAAGGCCAAGTCACCCTGGATTAGGATGGGGAAGAATTATATAACAGGTGCGCGGTTGCCTTTGGGGTGATCAATGTTCTGGAACTGGAGGGAGGTGACGGTCACACAAGGTGATGGACACAGTCGGTGTCTCTGAGCTGTGCACTTTAAGGTGGTTAAAATGGTGCATTTGATGTTCAGTGCATGTTAACATAACTAAGGGGGGAGGAGACAGGAGGACGACGTCTGCAACTTGAGCTGCACATCAGTCTCTGTTCCATCCTAGCAGGTGGGTGTCACCAGGTGACCTCTGATCGGGGCTCCGATCACTTCTGCTTATTTACCTGACAAGCGTAGCATTCTCAGGAATGTCTCGGACAGCGTTTTGCCCAGGTTTGGTGATGCAGGGAACGGATGTTAGCTCAGTGTTCCCGCACCTTCGTAAAAGCTTACAATCAGGTGTTGGCTTTTTCATAAAAAGTTGTTGTTGTTTTTTTTTAACAGGCTCACAGTAGTCAGTCACCAGAAGCGTCCGATGGAACCAAACAGTCGAGTATTTCGGGCCCATTAGGGGAGCAGGGGCAGGGCTGAGGGCACGGGGCAGTTTCTGAACGACGGCCCTACGGCCTGGGAGGATGTTTCCCCCGGGCACGAAAGGGGCTTCCTCTGCGCTGGGGCTCCCAGGTACAACCGCCTGCAGGGGGAAGAACGCGGCTCACCAACCCCAGGGCAACACCACGCACCTGCTAGCGCCACACAGCAAATTCAAACAGGACTCCAGGAAAGTGCTGGTGCCCAGGGCGTGCACTGTGTAAGAGTCTGCTGGACACCCTGTTTCCTCCGGCACTTCCACTAATCAGACCGAGTAAAATTCCGGGGAAAAGGTCTAAGGTAACCAGAAACCAGACCT